AAGTGGTTTGTGAGGGATGCGATGAATATGAGAAACGCTCTTGATATCAAATCGGAAATGCACCTGTTATTTAGCTTCAAGGATTTTTTGTGAATCAATGTTATTGGTATGGTTTCGCCATCAGAAGATTTTGCATGAACACGGTAGCAAGTGTATAAGCTACTATCAAAACCTATAAATTGAAAAGAATTAGTCGCTTCAAAGAATCGAATGTGAGAGATTATGAATCGAAAACACACCTTCTACGGGATGAACTGATGTTGACGTTAGTCTGCGTGTTATCATGTTGTAATCATAAATGGATTCACGAGTGAAAGGTGAGCTATAGGTAAATCGAACGGTATCGGTGTCATAGTTCTGCAATGATGTGTTAGAAGTGAGATGCGGATAAGAGAAATTACTCTGCATGCTGCGTACGCACATTATTTACCCCCGGCGAAACAACACAATACTTGCTGGGTAATCTTATTTGATGAATTTCAGAAGTCCACAGGTCATAACACATGATGACCGGTAATCCTTCCCTCTTAGCAAATAAGACTGCAAAATTCTAGCAAACGAGTGGTACAGTTAGACAAGGCTTAAAAATTTTCGGGATCATCTTTCTTGACAAGACTCACACGAAAAATTTCGACATCTTCGATCTTCTCTGTTTCCTTGACAGCAAAAATGGTTTCCCAGTATTTTTTCCCGATATTTTCCAATTTTGCCCGAACAAGTTTGAAATTTCGTACGTTATCCGCGTTCGTCAATATGTAAAAATTGTCCTTTCAGAGGTTAAAGTTGTCAATGTCTTGAGAAATGCTCCAGTCAAACCGATTTAGAGATCACCCGAGTTTCTTACATTGTGATGATCCACATAATACTCCAATCCCGAAGTCCGTGGTTCAATTAGATTTAATTTAGGGATGCCCAATGATATGTCATGACGGGCATCAAAAAATCGAACCTCCGAAGATTCGAATGTATTTGAATTGATTGTTATAAAATACTGTAGATTATCACCATGATCTATCAGTAAAGCATAATCCATAGTCTAATATTATATAAACGCTGAGCTCTAAATTTCCATTTGCGAACCTTATCCTTGGTACAAGTAATATCAACGAACGCTGATTGATCTTCTTCCTCAAATATTACCAAGTCACTATGTTGCGAAGTACCGATTGTATGCGCAAGAACCTAAAATCATTGACAAGAACCCTTGTTTCTATTTCAACGTTCTGTGCCACTTGATAACAAAAATCGTACCTTATGAGGTCTGAGTTGTTCATCGACCACGGTGTAATAAATAACCCGAGAATCCGTCCCCCACACAAAATTAAATACATTATCCAAGCTTTCTCTCTATAATTTATTCTAATCAATATGATGAAATCATGTTATTTCCGGGGGGGGAGAATAGTATGATTCAATCTAACCTGAAAATTCACATTTCGCGATAAATCCTTGAAATACAAAGTTCCGACCTCATTACCTTCCCGCTCCACCAAATAAGCAAGTAAATTATGATCTGTTGACAGTAAGACACACTTGATTTGCTTATTTGTTCCCGAAAAAATTTTGGAATCCAACAAAACTTCCTGTTGATGTGATCGCAGAATCAATATTTAAACGTACACATCTTCGAAGGAGATATAATAGAGCATTTTACTTCAGACGAGTGACACCCCAGTTTGCGTCGGTAATATATATTGCCATAAAAGCATGATTCCGTATAATATTCGTACCCATTTTCCACGACTTTTGCGGATGGTGTAGTAGATGTTGTAATCAATTTCCGCTTCATTTCCTACAAAGTACCAAAGATGAGCAGATTATAGCATTTTCATGATCCATTCTTTTCTAGTAATGAAATATGGATCCTTACAAAGTACAATCGTCTTTGTAGCTTCTTGGTCCCATGCATAACCTTGTCGGCAATCCTATGTTTAGAATGATGAGTGATCGACACGCAAATGTCTGTAAATGCGATGTGTAATTGTTACGCACCGATTTTCAGCAATTATGTACTTTCGAACATCCTAAAGCGTAAAAGAGAAAATGTAAATGAGCTTCCGTTAATTATTCTCTCATTGAAGTAAATCCAAAATGTTTACGGGATCATTGGGATCCTGCATCCAGTGAAATTCATCAACGCGTTTACGTCCAAAGTAGTACGATGTTTGCGGAATTTGTTTCGGAATAATGAGTGCATCGTTTTTATGAGCCCTGTTAAAGAAATTCTTGTTCTTCCACTCGATAGGCAATTATAAATAACCAAAAGCATCGATATACCTTTGAAAAAGACTTTGCAGCTGTTTCATAAAGAACTTTCTCTGTGTAACATTATGAAAATGGTCATGTTGAAGTGATTGATTGAAAGAAAGAGGAATGCGTGATCAAATTTTAACCTTTTGAATGTCGTACACCGGTCTCTGAATTCTTGAACTAATATGCATCGTAGTAAAAAGTGAACATTCCACTTGCTGCCTTTTTTCTATTTTATAAAACTAGTGATTATCGAATGATAATCTCGTCTCTAAGATTAAACAAATGAAGTTTTTACAGTATATACAGTATATATTGTACCTATTATATTACTTTTGTTTTTTAGCAGTTGTCCAAAATATCAAAACCTCATTAAAAAATTAGCTATATCAACTACGATAAAAAATAATACAATAAAGAATAATAAGAATAACAAGACTATGTATAAATAAATATCATTTGTATTTACTTGAAAATTCAGTAATGAAAAAAAGGTACTTTTTAAATTCCTTTTTATAAACTATTTTTTTTTTTTATAAATCTATTGTTTTTTCTTATATATTTTTAATACACGTGTATATTATGGTTTCAAAAATTTGTAATTTTAGAACATTTGGACAATTATTTGATGATAATTTGAATTTGAATTATTATAGATTAATTTAATAATTTTTTATAATAGTTTTAATCTTTAGATTATAATATTTTTTTTTCTCAGTCTTTAGATTATAATATTTGCTCGTATAGTTTTGTATATAAAAATTATATATATAACAATTATTTTTATCAAAAAAAAATATATATTTTTGATTTATAATAAATAATAATTCTTATTTAATTATTTTATTTTTAAATCTTAATAATAATTAAATTTCTTTTAAACTTTTATATTTGATAGTAATAGTTGTTTTATTATTTTACTATTATTATTTTTTTTTGAGTATTTGCAGTCAGACTAGATCATAGTTTATTAATCAATTGAAAACAAAGTATATTTTCACTTGAGTAGCATGATACCACTAGTCAAAAAAAAATTATTCGGCATACTGCCACTCATATAACATTTGCAAAAAATAAACAATTTGGCAAAAAAAATGACATAAATAAATCGGTAACTACAAAAATTGACAATCAGAACTATTCATTAAAAATTCTCAAAAATTTATCAACTATTTATCCACTATTCGTCAACTATTCGTCAACTATATTTGCAACTATCCGTTAAAAATTTATTAACCATTCATTAACCATTTATCAACTATTTGTCAACTATTTGTAACTATTTGTTAACTATTCGTCAACCATTCGTCAACCATTCATTAACCATTTGTCAACCATTTGTCAACCATTCATCAACTATTCATCAACTATTTATCAAAACTATTCATTAAAAATTCATTAATAATTCATTAAATTATTTATTA